AAAAAATATATATTTAAAAAAAATTGTGTTAAATATGTTTGATCAAACCATCAAACAAATTAAAAATTTTGAGCGTATGTGGGGCACTTTACTCCATAACTCAATTTCCGAGTCGTGTAATATCGCCTGGTATGGCTGCGCTGGGATAGAGTTCACTCTTTGTTACAAGGTTAAGAGCAAGATCTGGCTGAGAGCTAAAGATGGCAATATCCAATTTCCTTCTTTTGCGGAAAATAGATCTTTACCTAAATGTGCTAACAGGAAACGCTATGGTAACAATAATATCATCATTACATAGAGAATTACGATTGCGACAAAAAGCAATGGACGAATTACTGGCCTGCCGTGAAAATTTACAAACGCGATCGAATGTCGTTTGAAAGTCTCAATTTTTCTGTTTTTGGAATTTTAAAGAAAACGAACATTGCTGCATCTCGCTTTCAGCCAACGATAAATACAAAAAGATCCCGTTCGGTGTCTGTGCACTTTACAGTGAAACCTGGCCTTCGTTCGGTGCTCAATTTGGAAAAGCATACCACCAGCTATCATTCTATTGACTTGCTGCACGCCGTCAACTCAGCAAAATCCTCCCGTTGATGACGTTGGTGGGTTGGGGAAGAGAGGAAAGATAAACAGCATTCGATCCAGGCCGGCCTTTTTGCCACAGATGGTTGTGAACGAGACCATTGTTTCCTTAGTTTGAAATTTGAATCCGAGAGGAGCCAACCTTGGGTTTTTTTCCCCTATCATATTATATCTCATATGTTTACCCATAGTTTGGGGTACCGATTGAGAACTATAGGTGTTCAACCTTCAAAAGTGACTTAATATGCGTCAAGTGCGGTGCGTAAATGTAATTGCATCTAAAAAGACCAAAGGATGAAAGAAGATAGTGATTTCACTAGAATGATTTATTGAAAAGCATAACTTAGAACACTACTTGTTTAGCGGATTTGTTTGAAAATTATGTTAACCGTCTTCTCAAAAGTACAGCTTCCATAGGAGGTAGACAAGAAATCTCTTTTCACGGCCAGTTCGGGTTGAATTTGTTGAGGACTAGTGCTAGTTGATTTATTGCCTTTTTTCTGGAGTTGTCATCCGTAAATTTTTGCTAAAAAGGAGAAAAGAAGAAACAAAATCGAGCTTTGTCGTTGAAGAATAAGAGTACATAAGTATTACCGTTCATATAAAAAGACGCAGTCTTTCAGGCCTGTAAGTCTTTTGAGAAAAGAAACCCTATGGCAAAAGATAAAAACGGTGAATCGAGTTCGAAAGCTCTTGTCACTAATCAGAATACTGTAGCTATAATAGAAAGCTAACAACCCATTAAAAACACTGAAACGAAGCGTGGTTGGAGGACAGGAGGGCGGGG